GTTTCGTTAAGAGTGCAGAGGTCTGACTGTCCTTTTCTCACCTCTGGAGACAGCAAGGTGGCACATATTGCAGGTTGTTGTTCCAAGAACCTCTCGACCATGTCGTATGCACTGTTCCACCTTGTGGCAACATCAGTTATCAGTTTATGATTTTTCAGGCCCAGACATTTCTGTTTCTCTTTCAGATAGTGGTTCGCTGTAGTGCTGCGGTGGAAGAATGTGGAAATCCGTCGCACTCTACCCAGAAGCCTGGAGAGGGTGGCCACTTTAAGCGCCCGCTGGGACGCAAGATTCAGTGTATGGGCGAAGCATTTAACATGAGGGAATTTTCCGAATTCAGCTGCAACGATCATATTAGACGCGTTGTCTGTCACCAGCACTACATCTTTGTCTGATAGCTGCCATTCTTCCACTACACGAGACAGTAGCTCCGCAACATGCGCACCTGTGTGAGACTCGTAAACAGCTCTCGTTTGCAGCACATGCGACAAAAACTGCCAGTCCTCGCTGATGTAATGTGCCGTTACTGTTAAATACGACTCCGTCGCGACAGAAGTCCAGGCATCACATGTTATGGCAACTCTTTTAGCTTGGATCATTGACGCCATTACCTGGGCTTTGGTTCCGTTGTAGAGGGCAGGTATGACATTTTCTGTAAAGTGGCTACGTGATGGGAGCTTATACCGTGGCTCCAGCTTCTTTAACAGGTGGCGAAAACCGGTGTTTTCCACGACCGAATAAGGACGTAGGTCCTTCGCTATGAAAGCTGCCACCGACTGGGTGATTTTCTTCGCTTTCTCAGAGTTGGGCGAAAAGGTTGACAATTCTTCGCTGGGCTGGCTCCGCTGTTTTCTTGGTGGCAGGCGTTAGCTTCTCACAGTGAAAACGGCTAAGGTGGTTCCTCAAGTTAGTGGTATTTCCACCAAGGTATTTTATTTTTGTGTGACACACTTTACACACAGCGTGCGACTTGTCCAGTTCACTTTTCCCTTTTAGTTCATAAAACCCATAATGGGTCCAGATGTCTGCTTTCAGAACACTAGGAGCGTTTTTTATTATTTGCACACTGCTTTCGCCTCCCTCCATTATTGCACTAGCTCGGTAACCCACAATGCAATGCTACGTTGCTACCGTGACGTTTAAAAAAAGAAAAAAAAACTGTAATGTCCAGCTGCTGCCGGAAAATCTACCACGTGAATAATCGGTTATCTTCCGTCACTGCATCGAAACCGAATCGTCCACGTCCGCATCGCAATGCATCGTAGAAACGATTATTTTCAACGCCCCTACCGTCTATGCTGTAGGCTAGGGAAGGCTAAGCCTTCCCAAATATTTTTGTCACTGCATCCTGGTAAAATTAAAATATAATGTTTGTGTATTTAACATTAGCGCTGCAATGCAGCCACCAGTGCCCTGTACCAGGGCCGTTCCTCCCTACAGGCAGATCACGGAGACTGCATGGGGCCTCATCTCGCGGAGGTGGCCTCATCTTGCGGAGGGACCCTCAACTGAGACGCAAATGCGGCGCACCAATGCGCTTATGCGGCGCAATTAGTGTGGCGCGGCACGGTTTCGCCGCTGCGTGGCTCAACCAACACCCCCAGATTCGTCAACTTAATGTGTTGCTTAAAATAATACTTCTGCCTACAGTATGTGACACTGTGTTGCATGCTGACTCAGATAAGGAAATATATGATATATTATGATATTATATGACCGATGACGTGATTGATGTGATATGAATGATAAGTGCGCGACACTTCGGCGTCTTCCCTGCATACGGCAGTTTAAACTGTATTTCCTTTATCCTGTAATATGACTTGATAGATTTAAACTCTGCACACTGAGCTCTGATTGGTCAGCAGGCTGTGCTTTCACTGAGTTGATCTCTTATCTATAGACGCCAGAGGCGGGCAGCGTCAGGTAAAACAAGTTAGCCTTCCCAAACCTGAGCCTCACGCGTCGCCTATGAGGACATGCTAACCAAGTGTCTGTCAATACATCAAGAGAAGGTACAGTATATAAACTCTGGATTTCCCTCTCAAAGTCACCCTGTTACCTGTTACCTGCTGCAAGTGCAACCTCAACTGATCATCATAACAAGGTAAGGCTCTCATACTTTTCTATCATTATGGCTTCATCTGTTTTGATTGATACCTACAGAAAGAGATGTTCATTATTACGTTTAGTTTTCAAAAGTGAAATCACCTTTTCATGTCTGGTTCTAACAATGAATTATTTTCCAAAATTAAGGTTTTTGTTACATTGTTAAATTGTTGAGCTGATGGTGAGGAATAGTAACACAAAGAGGGGATTTCTCCTAAAGGATTATTACTTTAAAATATTTTTTTAGTCACTCCACCAATATGGAGAGGAAGAATGATTACGGCACTTCTTTGAGGTTTTACATCGCTCCCAAACTATAAAATATCACTGTAACGCTTTTCCTCTCACACTTATTCCATGCCAGATTAATGAATGTCCTTATCATCTTTAGAAAACCCATGCTATGACCCATGTAAGACCTGCCCTTCTGGATGGACTCTGTTTGAAGATCACTGTTACATGTACAAGCATGCTGCTAAGACCTGGGCTGATGCAGAGGTACATCGAGGAACAATATGAGTTATAACTGACCAACATGTTTATAGAGTTCTCACTTCTATTTCCTCATTTAACTCTCGCTTTTCTCTCACTTGCTTTATGTTATTTTATTCAATCCACACGTTGCATATTAGGTGGACTGCATTGCCCTTGGTGGAAATCTGGCGTCAATCCCCAACAAAGGGGTGTACACATTTATCAGAAGGATCATAAACACATCGACTAACAAAAATGGAGCAACTTGGGTTGGAGGCCATGACTCGTCAAAAGTGAGTGCTTTAATAATATTATATATTCAGTTTTTTACTTGGTAATCTTTTTGATGAGATTCTAACAGGTGGGATTTGGACTACATGCCAAATATATTTGTATTTCTGATTGGATTGAATTGACTTGTTTTAGGAGGGTGTGTGGATGTGGAGTGATGGTAGCAAGTTTGACTTCAAGAGCTGGCCCGTTGGCGAGCCCAACAACTCTGGAAAGGGAGAAAATTGCATGGAATTGAATTTGAAAGGTATTCACTGATTATGTTATTATCTGAAAATAATTGCCAGATTAATCGATAGCAGTCTAATTGTTCGTTTGTTAATTTTTAGAAAAAGATTTTCCCAACGACACTGTGTGCACTGAGGAGATGCCGTTTGTTTGTCGCATGCGCCTGTGATGATCCACGCCATATGATGTCAAGTCTACCAGGGTATCAGGCCTCGATGATAGCACTGCGAGAAGACGTATTGACATTTTTTATTTCATTTTTGCTGATGAAATAAACGGATACATCCTGTTCAGCAATCTGTCTCATTTGTTTTATAAAATCTCAATATTTTGATGTTAAATTTTTTTTTTTAAATCTCCTCGATTCAACAAATACATTTTGATTCTGTATATTTAGTTTATATCTGCATATACTATTTACAATTATAAAATGTTTCAATTATTTAGCATTTTGAGTGTGTGGGAGATAAACTCCCTCTGGAGCGAACTTTGGGATTTTAGCCTTTGCAGACCATTTACATGCACAAAAACCTATTCAACACACAACAGGAAAGGGAACCCCCCTAAAAGCATAATAGGGCCCCTTTAAATACAAAAACTGTCCATCATTAGAACGACAGTGTGACCACTTCCTTCTCATTACTTATTATTTTGTGTAATGATATAACTCTTTAGTCATGCAGAGAAAGAAAGTGCAGGTTGTTTCCGCTCCCAAGACACCCAGCCACTTCCTGATCCTTCTGACTGTCTATCAAGGTATTGTGATAATTCAAGACATTGTTCTCCACATCTGTACTAAGTCAGAGCTCTGGGTATAAACTTATTTATTTTTCTCTTGTCATATAAGTGTAATTAAAAGACATTTTTGTGTTAAATCTGATATGTGATATGTCACCATAGTGACAGCACCAGAACAGCCTCTTCAGTAAAAGTTGTAACTGTCATCTTTGATCTAACTACCTGTGAGTGAGTCAAGTTATTCTGTTTAATTTGATACTTCCCGATTGAAAATGGGGAAAGGATCATAAAAAGTAAATGTGCCACCACATGTCAAAAATATCAGAAAAAGTCATTGTACAGCATGTAAAAAAAAAAGACATACTATAGTAATTTGAATAAGAAAATCAAAAAGTAACAGTTTGGTATGTGATACAAATGTATAGCAGGGTATATGCAGAAATCCTGAAGTCAAATTCAATACCTTTTAAGACCTTTTTTAAGACCTCATCGCCACTTCGAGTTTTAACCGGTTACATTGGCGACACACTTTACCTCACATTTACTATATACCGTATTGATTGTCCTTCCTCCTTATCTTCCAAACATTTGGACGCAGACTTGCATTTCCCCATAACGATGTTGTTTAACAACCGGCGTAAACGGACCTTCGCGCGCTATCAAGCAGTGAGCGTGCGATGTCCTGTTCAGATGACGTCAAATCCAACGGGATGCCATAAATAAACTACACAGAATCACACTACACACCTACGCAATGATTACATTCAGGCAGACTGTAGAATACAACCTCTTTGGACAATTGATATACTTATTGAAAACAAGCTACAAAATGTAATACCTTGGAAAATGCTGTTTAATACTTTTTAATAGCCTTAATTTTCGCTAAATTTATTTTTTAATACTTTTTAAGACCTCGCAAACACCCTGTATAGCCTAAATATAGTATCACTGTAATAAAGTCATAACAAAGTCATAGTCATTATATAGTATAAAGTGCAATAAAAAAATCATTATATAAACTACAAGTATGTGTGATGTCCCTGGCTCGGGGGAAGCAACATAGTGGTCAGACAAACATCTATATTTTGCCAAACTTATAAATAAACAAAGCGAAATAGAGACATCAAAATCAGAGTGCAGCTTTGAATAAATAAAACAACACCTTCATTCCACAGATGGTTTATTGGGTCCACAGCAGCAGCACGACATTCATTGATATTCACTACAAATCATCAAAATAAATTAACAAACAAACAAATTCAATTCACATTGAGCATATTTCAGTGCACATCAGTTGTGGAAAGCTTGACTTGAAATAAATATAATGTTCATGTTAATTGTTACAGAAAAACAAGTGTTTTAAAAATGATATAAGTAACTTAAGTTGATGATTGGATAAGACAACCATGAATATTATTCACAAACAACTGGAAATGTCTTCATTTTAATGCTGTAACTGAAGAAGTCCATTTCATGTTTTGCATTTCCTTACCTAAGAGATTATCTGAATGGTCCCTTTGCTCTTTGAATACTGGAGTTAAAGATGCAATGGATATAATTTATCTATCATCCATACAGAACGTGTAATCCTTCATTTAACTTACAAACAGACACAAGCACAATTGTAAACACACACACACACACACATACGTTTCACCAATAAATAGCATTTCATAATTTATTTTTGCCCCTGTATCTACAATTGTATCCCTTTAGTGGAACATTTACCCACCTGAAAACGATAGCTCCAGTTTGTGTCTCTTAAGGATTCACATTACGTTGGAAAAATAAATACATCCAAACTAGGGCTGCTCGATTATGGCAAAAGTCATTATCTCGATTATTTGGGTCAATAATTGATATCACGATTATTAAAAACGATTATTCATTTACTTTGAAAACATCCATTTATTGAAATAAAAAAATTGAACGGTATGTTTTTAACAGTTGATTACCCTGAACTTTAAGTATAATTCAACTGAAAAACCAATAAAAAAAAAAAAAAAAAAAATAATAATAATAATAAAAAAATTATCGTTTTATTTCGATTACGTTGTTTTCGTAATCGTTGCAAGCCAAAATCGTAATTGCGATTAAAATACGATTAATTGAGCAGCCCTAAATCCCTAAATCTCATTATATCTGGATAACAACCAATCTGTTTGTTGCACAATAAGAGATCTTTAAGGGTTTCCTTTTACAATTTTGTTGATGCGTTGTTCTTTAGAAATGTTGATTATTGCCTCTTTTTGTAGAAAGGTGCATCATTTCCACCTGCCATCTTTGTTTGATTTGGTAACCGAAGTTGCAACTTAGGAAAGGACTGAACAATCTGTCCTTGCACCAGACAAATATTTAATTATTGTTAAAGCTCCTTCTAGATAACACATGATTCCCACTATGACTCAAATGTATACCTGAGACACACAAACTGGGGCTACCTGAAAATATGATTCTTCAGTATCAGGATGCACATTTTAAAGTATCTAAACCCTTACTCTGACAACAACACTAGTCTGTATAAGGCCCAACCACAGATGAACAGGGAGTGGAATGTATCGGGTCGGAGTGGAAGCATTGCAATGAGAGAAAGGAGGAGAGATGGAGGGAGAATAAACAGGGTTGTTACTCTGTGAGGGGCACGGAGATAGCGGGGCCCTTTGGGTCATCAAAGCGGTCCATAGTGTGGAGCTGCATGATCATGTGGAGCCCGTAGGTGAGCACCAGCAGCATGAGGAGGCTGGTTATCAGACCCATCCAGATCCCCGGAGAGAAGAAGCCTGCGCAGTCACTGGCGTACGAGAAGTCACTTCCAGTCACGTTGAAGCCCTGGATCTGTGCAGGGAGAGAGGAAATAATCGGTGAGGGCAGGGAAAACTGAAACAAATTGAGTTAACCATAGTTCAATCCCTCGGTGTGTCCACAAAAACAATATTAGTGGGCCTACCGTGCAACAGACAAATCAATTATAAAGAAAAAACAACTATATCTTACCTGGAAGTCTGCAAAAGAGACCCTCCACTGATTGGCTGGATCTTTAGATGTGCGTGGGATGAGCACGGGCCAGCGGAAGTTGGTGACGGAGCCGCAGCGGTACGAGTACTCAGCCGGGGCGTAAACATGTCTGCTCCCGTTAAATGTGGCTTTGGTGCCGTCGTACTCCAGCTCCACGGCGTCTAATGTGAACCAGCGGCGCGCGGACACCTTGTAGTGACGCTGGCTCATAGCAAAGCTGGATACACACATACAGAGATGGGGCATTGAAGGTCACAATACCCATTAGGATAACTCAAGTAGAATGTTGAAGGCTTATAACTTATTCTCAACAATACAATGTATATTTGCAAGTGTCATGTCATATATTTGGTCGTACTTACATGAGTTTGAAGCTGCTGTGGCCCAGAACTTTCTCATAATTAAGAACCAACCTGCAAAGAGCCCAAAGAAGACTATTTCAAATACATTATGATGAATGAGGAGATAAGATGACTTTTGTTTTCAGCGAAATACAATCCCTGCTTATGAATCCTGCATGAACTAACGGTATGAACTACCTCGCTTTGGATTTGTCGCAGGTTGAGCCGCCGAGTTTTGGGCTGACTCCCTCTCCAAAGGTGGAGGGGGTGAGGTCGTGCTCTTCCCAGCGCCCGCTCCGAAGGATGCTCACTGACAGGCCTGTGGCCCACAGCATGATACAAGTGTCATCCCCCTCCTGTGGAAAGAGGGGAAAAGAAGCACAGGGCAGGTTAATTAAAGTAATTAGAGGGTAAAGCTGGCATTAATGCATATGTGACCCGCTCTATCGAAATCAGTCGGAAGTCGCAACGGCTCATTTCAAAATAAACCTGGATTTGCGTAAAAACATTCGGGTGTTTTGTTTGATTTTAAATAAACAAAGTCTTGGCTTTCAGAATATGACACTTTTATTTCCAAAATCACACGATAAATACATTTTTGAAGCTTGTAAAGGGAAGAAGACAGCTCTCACTCGCACCCTGCTGTTCCGCAGCGCAGCCCCCCCTCCCTCCCGCTGACATTATGAATGTAAGGCGTATAGCAATCATAGATAACACGGCTGTTTGTTTTCATCTGATTTAAAAAAAACAAAGTCTTGGCTTTCAGAATATTAAACTTGTTTCGGCAAATTCAGATGATAAATACAACTTTGAAGCTTGTAACGGCATAATTACAAGCGGAGAACGGAGTAACTTGACGTCACAGGGCATAACAACAGCCGGTGTTTCTCGGGAGTGTTTTCCCCGGGAAACAAACAATACACAGAAACTCAAAAATACACAAACACACACACACACACACCCAGACCAAAATATCTTCCCTCCGTAGTATTTTTGATCATTTTCTCCGCTAATAATCAATCAGATCGATGGATTCCAGAGAAGAGGAAACTTTGAAAGCCTATTTCTCAAAATGATGACTCGGTGACAGTCATTATATAATGTGAAATATTTTGCTTAATATTTGGAGTACAACAACAATCCTGATATCATTAGAAAGCTAGGAATCTCCTCTTTCCAACAGTGTATACAACTCAAAATGTGTCTTCGGGTCAATGCGACTGATTTCGATAGAGCAGGTCACATATTTACTTATCGTTGACAATTCCAATGAAAAGACCAAAACCAAACATATTTTAGTCTGTCTTGCGATATCTAAACATCCTATTAACACTGAAGACAGAAACATTTATAAAAATCACAATTAGTAGAGAATCATTTTTAAATATGTCCTAAAACAGCTGGTCTCCATAGTTTATTATCAAATAAAATCGGATGAAATATTGAATTTGTTGGGAACAATTTTCTGCTGTGGAATAATCCACATCTGCAGGCTGCTGCACCCCCACTGTCTCACGGAGAGATACCGCAGGTCTTTCCTTCCTGCAGCGGTCAGACTATACAACCAGCACAGCCCCTAGTTGACCCCCCCCACACACACACACCACAACACAGACTATATCACCCCTTGCTAATAACTGTAATATATACCTGGCTGCTAAATCCTTAGAACTGTTACAAGGTGTGTATTCTTTATTTTATAAATTGTGTAACTTGCTGCTGTTAAATACCAACCACCTATGTCCAATATGTGCTAGATGTGCAATATATATAGATGCCGTTAATAACTGTGTAATATAAACCTGGCTGCTAAATCCTAAGAACTGTTACAGGATGTGTATTTTTTTAAATTATGTAACTTTTTATTTTTTATTATATCATAACTTAGTACTTTTTTTTAATGCATGTCACATATTTAACATATGTAACATTAAGCTGTATGTGGCTCTTTTTCCTGCTGTAACTACGCAAATGTTCCCTCCGTGGGACTAATAAAGGTATTCTAATTCTGATTTGGAGCTCTAGGGAGAATTGTGGCATTAGGATGTGTGTGTCCGGTGTTCATAGTAATGAAGGATCATGTCAACCAGTGCAACAGGCTAATTGATGTGGTTTTTTTTGGACAGCAATGGAGCTCTAGGACTAGAGGGAGAAGAAATATCCAGTGTTGACACATTCACTGCTGTTTTTCTTGGCATTTGTTGGTTAAAGTAAAGTAGGATGCTTTTATGGCTAAACAAGAACGCCAAGTTGAAATTCAAATGCACTACAAAGAAAAAACTGCGCCACTCCACCTTAAACTCCACTGGACCGTAGATCACTTCCTTTTCCTTGATCTTGCGCGGCCTCTCCTCTCTCTCCCTCTTGCGCCATCCGCCTCTGGCCTGCAGGAGAGAGCGCCCTCCACCAACGCCCGCTTCCATGGAGAGAGACGCAGCCTCCTGTAAAAAGATAGAAAGAAGACATGAATAAACTGCAGCAGAAAGACAGAGATATTTAAACACATAGAACATAGACTCACCCTGGAGGGCTGCAGGGCTGTGTAGATGGCTGTGTACGGGACAGACTGGGTCTTCATGGTGCTCAACACCTGGCCAATCATCTCATCTGAAAAACACCCAGTTCATCTATTGGCTTGGCATTACCCAACAAGTCATCACATGCAAAGAAATAGTGAATGTATTTCAATTTAAAAACAAGTTACAGGTGTGTATTTATTTGCATTGCTTTAATGCTTTTACTGTTACTTTTAAATGTTCATGTTAATGCATAATGATGTATGTAACTCTCTTTTTGTGCACATTTGCATGTTTCTGTACTGGGTCAGACAGACTCACCGTTTCCACTGAGAACATCTTTGGCAGACATCAGATCAGCCCTGCGAGAGAAACCGAGGGAGCAACAAAGAGATATATGTATGAAAATAAAGTGGAAAGAAGTAAGGGAAATGATTAGCACAACTACATTTAAATTAATTAATAAATAAAGCCCAAACGTCCATTAGCGTTTCTCTCTGCATGTCAAGGTGTTCTTCAGCTTCTACCTCTCAATCTGATGCTTGCAGCTGCACTCAAAACGCCTTTTGCAGTGATTTTATCATCACTAATACTCAAGGATTTTTATCCAGTTGATATCACACATGTGGGCAATCTTTGTGAAGCTTTTTTTTCTATTTTTGAACCCAAGAAAAAGCATGAAGCTTCAGGGCTTCAAATGAATTACAACAGTGACATCTGCTGGTTTCTAAAAATGACAGCAGCACTTTAATACTGGCGCCATTGTTCTTACACCTCCATGTTTTTTAACAATATGAGACTACAAGCCCCCTCTACAATCCCTTCAGGTGGAGCGGTGTACCTACCCAAAGCCGTACGGCAGCCTGAACACCAGCAGGGCGGGCGAGGAGGCGTTGAGTCTCAGCTGACTCAGTGTCTCAGGATCCATGTACAGAGGAGAGGTGTCCAATTGGTCCTGCAACTGGCCAATCACTGCATTGGAGGCAGGCCAGGACACAGCAGGTAACACCAGAGGGGAGGACGAGGACCTCAGAGCCCCCTATGGCACACGATGACAAACAAAACATCTGTCAGTGAGTCTACTGTTCATGGTCTGTTTGATTTAAGTGATAGGAGTAGAGAATGAGAGTGAAAAATATAACATTTTAACATTCTGTATGTCAATATCATCATCATACCTCCAGGTTCGGGAAAACACTGTCTTGCTTGTTTCCAAAAGCCCCTCCATACATAGTGAAGTCCTCTATGCTCATCTGGGATGGAAACAAAGAGTAAAAAGCAAATCAATCAATTATACCCATCTCCATGTTTCTCTGTGAAGTTAGACAGAAACATGGGGGGTCTATATTAACTCTTATCCTGTTATTCTTTTGTGGGTTGACAAATGGGACAATACCATATACAATTAGCAAACTAATAATTAAAAAAAAGCATATTTTGTCTCTTTATCCTATATAATGTCAATGTTGCTCTGTCTGGACGGATTTGAATAATATCATTATTATAAATTAGGCATTTTAAAAGTGTGCGTGTACTGTACCTTATCCTGAAGGAACAGCACAACATTTCTTGGGCCCACACTCAGAGCTTTCTCCAGGTAGGAGGCCAGCTGCTGCTGCCCCACGATGTGCCCCGCTGTAGGGGGAGACTGACTCGGTACGGAGACCCTGGAGGATTCAAAGCAGCGGTGAAAGAAAAGTTAGTATTCAGAACATAAAAGGTATATTTACCCATACAATAATGTAAAAGCCTTAAATAATATGTACGGAGATGCCTTTAAAATCTTAAAAGTATGGGTATGCAGGTATACTATTACTTCAGTTTTATGAACATGTTGTATTATTCTGTCATATTTCTGTCCTAAATCAAAAAAGGCTCATGTCATAAGATAAGATGGACCTTTATTGATCCCCTTAGGTAAAATCAGGTGTTATAGCAGCAACAGAATAGAAGAAAAACACAGGTAGTGCACATGAGAATACACACACGGATATTGAGATGTATTTACAGTATGAATAAAATAACAAAAATACCATGACTTAAACCCTGATCAGGTGAATGTATGTATACAGATATGTTGAGGTTTAATATACATTAAAATGTGCAGGTTATCCAAATGTGGATGCATTCAAATGAATGCTTTTAAATGAATCCACTGCAACAATAAGCTTATTACTAATAACACTGCTTATCTCTATGACAATACGGAAACAGCTTGCAGGATGACATATGGCACCTGCCTTTCATAATAAGGATTACAGGAACATCTCATGTTACGCTACTATATTTTAATTATTTAAAAACGCTTTTGTAACACTGTATAGTCTGCATCTTAATACATATTATAGCAGATAATCGTCGATGATAGTTTAACGTTCATCCCAACTGACATTCAGCTAACCGTTAGCTAAACGGGAATAAGAGCGTCAAAGCCCGTTAGCCCATTCAACCGCCTCTGTGAGACGAACAAAACGAATGAAACTCAATATTACTCACCCCTCACTTGTCCACATAATAAGTGGCACCTGCTCATCGCAATTTCCCGTATTTAATATGTTCAATAAACCGAGAAAAACGGCCAAACACGCAGAGATGCTGCGGGGCTGCGGTGTCTCTTTCGTCGCCATCTTTACGATCTCCCTGACAGCAGCAGGTGACGTGACGTCCGAGGATGTCCACAAAACGTGACGTCGCGTGAGGTCACGTGACGAAAAAGACGCTCTCTGCAGCATCAATACTGCAATACATGTAGTGGGAGGTCTGCACCCTGCAGTATTTCTTTTTTATTTAAAACATAAAACCGTATATGAGCGCAGTGTCTAAATCAGCTGCATCCAGTGCTGAAAAAGTAACTTTGTGCAATTATTAATTATGGCAAAATGTATAGGCACTTTTAATGTTATCCTACTTCATTCTTTCATAACATTTTTCGACAGCTTCAGTTAACTTGCAGATTTTGATCACTAATAGGCCACTTAAAATGTCTCATAAATTAAGTTTGTGCCTAGAAGTTTATGGAGGTATAAAAAAAAGATATGTTACATCAGTTATGTTACACATTAATGCGTAAACTATTATAACTTAATTATATAATGTACATTATTCTTAAATGGGAAATTGTGCATACTTATTTTGCATATTTTTCCTTTTGGTAATATAAGGATATACTGATGATAATGCTTAACCTGATGTTATCCAATAGTGGTACAACAAAAGTACAACAAACACTTTACAACTTTAAGATACTTGTACTTTTCTTTAGTATTTTTTGCTACTTTATACTTTCAGATTCAGATTATTAATAACAAATCTGTGATATATAAATGCATCAATAATGAATGCTGAATATTGTTATTTGTACTCTTCAGATCAAGATTGTACGTTCAAATCATACAAGGATCTTATAAAATATGATGCAGTGGTTCTTTATTGTCAAACTAACATAGCTACAGTACAGAGTAATTATGTCGTTGTAAATCTTAGGTCACAGGCTTCTCCAACAATGCAACACAATAATGCAGATAAGCAGACAGTATTAAAAACAATATTAAAGTAATACAAAAAAGAAAAAGTCTATATACAAATTATTGGAATGATATATTAGATAATAGATAATAATTACTAAGTAGCAGATGAATGTTATGAAATTGTTTCAGCAGTTCAGTTGTTTAACAGTCTTATTGCCTGTGGGATGAAGCTGTCTCTGAATCTGGTTGTTTTAGTCCGGATGCTGCGGTAACGCCTGCCAGACGGCAGCAGGCTGAACAGTTTGTGGCTGGGGTGATGGGGGTCTTTTATAATCCTGAGGGATTTCTTCCTGAGCCGCTGGGAGTAAAGGTCCTCCATGGATGGCAGCTCCGTCCTGGTGATGTTCTCTGCAGTTTTAACCCTCTCTGTAAAGCCTTGCGATTAAGGGCGGTGCAGCTGCCGTACCAGGCCGTGATGCAGCCAGTCAGGATACTCTCTATGGTGCACCTGTAGAAGTTGCAGAGTATCCTGGAGTCCATGTTGAACCTCCTCAGCCTGCGGAGGAAGAAGAGCCGCTGTCAAGCTTTTTTGGTGATGGTGGTGCTGTGAAGAGTCCATGTCAGGTCCTCAGTGATGTGGACCCCAAGGAACCTGAAGCTGCTGACTCTCTCCACCGTAGTCCCATTGATGGCGATGGGGGCGTGTCCCTCTCTCTGCTGCTTCCTGTAATCCACAATCAGCTCCTTTGTTTTGCTGATGTTGAGATGGAGGTTGTTGTCCTGGCACCAAGATGTCAGTTTTCCAACCTCCTCTCTATACGCCGTCTCGTCGCCGACTGTGATCTGGCCGATGGCAGTCGTGTGCTTTACTATTAATGCGATATATTTTAATACATTTTGATATGACATGATGACATGTTTTCATTATGTGCGGTTTGGATTCGGAGGTGGGTGTTAGGTTTCTCAACACACAAATCAAATTTAGAAAAGTTGAATATTTATTGGCATTCACATGTACAGTAGGAAAGAATGGCAATCACAGTAAGGCGATACATTTTATAGTAACCACAGATCACTACGCCGTGGCCGATCCTCCCTTATAAAAGTGATTGATCTCTGTGATAAAATAAGGTATATACATCTGTAATGATGTAGCATTCACAGGTTGAATGGATCTAAAGAAATTAATCTGGAAAAGAAAGTATCTACATTGCTAAAATAAAATATTTGCAAACTTAATTTAAATGTACACTGAACATTATAACTTCACAGTCGACCCAAAGCGGCATGGACATAATAGAAGCAAATGAATCTACTATCATCATACTATCTTTTCAATTATTTACTCTGCATGCTTAAGCAGTAAATATTAACCATGCAGAACAGTGCTGATTAAAAGTCTTCATTAGATTAAGATTTATAAATCTACATCACACTGCATACTAATAAATAGAGTTTAAACAAACACCAGTTTTGTGGGGAAACAGGTTGATTCAACCCTGACGCCAGACAACACCAATATGGATCGATTCTGCTAATGTTGGGAATATGTTCAACAACTTTTTTTAATTCTTGCTTGTAAAAAGTGCCAATAAACTACACTCAATGTGTAGATTGGATTTTTCAACTAAAACACTTTTACTTAAAAAAACAACTTTTACTTTTATCATTGATATAAGCCACTTCCCTGCTCCCGCTCCTTTAGCTGTGTCAGAGCAGGATTAAGTTACTGCTGATGCTTTCATTTAAAAGTATTCCGGTGGCACAACACAGAAAAGCTTTTAATGCAATGCCACCAAAAGAAACAACTGTAAGTGTGGATAGCAAAAGGCTGCGAAGTCCAACTGCTTTACTGTGTCCTGCTGTTATGTTGAAATATACCTGTGCTGTGTTCAGCATGAAATCAGACGCCCGTTACTCAAAGTGTGATGTAATAAGGCTGATTTCTTCATCAAAACAACCCGAGTTCATTTGGCTGCGCTGTAAACGGTTTCACCTGCTTGTCTTTTGTTGTCATTCTTATAGAAAGTAGCTGCTAAACAAGTGTTTGCTGCAGTATTACACTTGCTGTTATCACCAGTATCCACAGGGGACTGAATTTAGATTTAGATATTCAATATCCGAACCTTAAAGTTATAATAATTTTCAGTGACTCCAGTCTGCTCTATCATTTGTTTGCATCTCAAGGACACACTACGTCCTGTATTGTAATCCTGAATTGTACAATCATCCAATAATTATGGTACTGGTGGGAACTGAAAACACATCTGAGCAATTAGAATGACCAGTTAATTACGTAACTCTGAAGGTACTACATGCCCAAATGAAGCCGCAAACATTTAAAATCTTTTACTCCTATAACCAATTCAGTGACCGTCTGCTTTAAGGTCACAGCTTTGATAGGTATGAATTCAAGTAACTCAATTATCAAATCTATTCTAAACGGATAACCCTGTTTTAGGATGATAGTGGATCAGAGCCTATTGCAGCAAGCGAATGATGCATTTTGCTATATAAAAAAACAAAACACCGATGCCTGCTTTTAAACATTTACAAACAAGTTTTTGTTGCACCAACATGAATTGGAAGTGACTCCAAAACATTGCCCAAAATGCAAAGAAAAGTGTGATCATTGGGAATTTCAGAGTGAACGTGTGTGATTCAGTAGAGAAAAAGGAGGGAGCGGAAAATGTGTGGATGGACTTCCAGGAGAGAAGGTGTTACCCTCAGTTTAGGGTAGAGGATCATCATGTAGCAGGAGGGACAGCAGGGACTCAGGACTGGGTCTGTATCTGCCCATGGAGGGCCTCGGCCTGGGCTTTCAGGCTTAGAAACTCCTCCTGGATAAAATCAGTCAAGGTCTTCCTCATTTCCATCTGAAAGGAAAATTCAAAGTAAATTATTCTTTAGGTTTCCCTTACCCTACAACAGGGGTGTCAAACTCAATTTCATCGCGGGCCACATTCGCATTATGGTTGCACTCAAAGGGCCGGTTGTAACATTAAGACTATATAAAAATACATATATAAATATTTAATATATATAAAATAATGTATTATATTACATTATTGCCTCTGCATTGGATTGTTATCGGAGAGGGTAATAACTTCATAATTAACTAAGTCTGAAAGCAGAAGTCTAGGGCAAATAATTGCAAGTCTCAGTGAGAATGTCACAAAATGATTTAAAAAGAAAAGCACATTCTTGAAAAAAAGTCAAAAGTCAAAATTTAAAAAAAGGCATATTTTGAAGAGAAAAAGGGAAATTCTGAGGAAAAGTCAAATTTGAGAAGCATTGTGCTACATGTATGGGCAACGTGCTTCTGTAAATCGCCATGTAACCATATAATAAACATATTATATTTTTTGCAATCTCTTGTGGGCCACATTAAATGAAGTCGCGGGCCGGATTTGGCCCCCGGGCCTTGAGTTTGACACCCCTGCCCTACAACAAATCCACAGCCCTTTTTTTGATTAAAAATGTCCTTTAATGATTAAACGATTATCACAATAGCTACATTTCATCATCTGAGTGTTTCAGCTTTACATAAAACATCAAATAATAGCTGTAGCCTTGATCCACTCCAACAAGCAGTTAGTTGCATTTAAATATAAAATGATTTTCAAACATTTGATCTGTCATTTCTTGCTTTGTAGCATATTAAATATAGATACATCATTAGTTTAATAGTTGGATTGTACCATTAGAAGCATTAGTTAGTAGTAGCATGTATTAGTAGTGTGTAAATGTGTAATATGGTCTGTCCTCACCTGGCTCTTGTTTTCGTCACGGAGTGATTCAACAAGGTCTTTCAGACTGAACGGTTTCCCCACCAGGATTGTGATTCTCTGAAATCAAACCAACAGTTACAACTATACTAACATGATAAACTAAAAGTTTTAAAATATTGTTGATTAGCTCTAAGTGTTCCTACCTTGCCAGTCCGAGGAACATAGGGCTTCTCGTTTGGCAGAACGTCACTCAAACCTGAGACAAAAACACAGAAGGACAAATAATTGGTTTCTATATGAAGTTCTATCTGCTGATTTCGGACCTCTGTTGTTGTTACTTTATATTACTTTGCAATGTTTGTATTTTTACCCGTTTTTAAAAGAATAAGGCTGGGTATATTGAATTTTTCTTGAATGCCAAAAAAACGGATGAAAATATTTAAATCATCAATATTTTCAGCGGGTACTAAATCCAAATTTGGTGCATTAGTGAACATTTGTAAAAGCAGCACAGTGTTTGTAGGATTAAGTCCAAATAAAAAATAGTGTATTCATGGTAATAAAGTAATGTAAAGTAATTCGTTTTTTACAGATCTCGGACAACAATGGAGATCCATGTCACAGAGGAGGAAGATATATCAGATGAGTTTATTTCTACATTTGTCTTTTGTATTTGACTTATTATTTAAAACCACAGTTATGAAACAGCAGAACAGAGATGATGTATTGTCCTCCGCATCTGTTTGTGCTGCAATGCTGTTACTCACCCACATGCCACAGTGGCAGGATAACCGGATTAAGGGAGCACTCTGCTATTAGTCGTCCCACACCTAAAACACAAACCAGACATTTATGAACCACAATCCCTTTCACACTGACAACTGATTTGGCTCTGTTTATTTTCATAAATGTTAAACGTACATGTGCTTACACTGTATGCAGTATTACACTGTACCGAAGAGTCTGAAGTGTGATTCTAAATGTCTACACACAACTAAAAACCAACATTTGAATGCTGCACAGCTCTTTTTCCCATGTCTATTCATCCTGTTGAATGTCATCCTGTAAAGGTGGTATTTCTGAAAAGTTGAAGATAAAATATGGAACAGCTGATTTAATAAAAAGAAAGACACATTTATGTAACCGGATGATTCACTTAATTCAAGATTTTGTTAAACTACTTTCTTTGGGGGGGTAATGACGTCGTAAAAATATAAACACAAACCATTCGACAATTAGAAAAACCTGAACAGAGGATTTTAATGTTAATAAATGGGAAGTGGTCTGAATTGGCTTTGCTCAATTAATTTACAAGTGTACTCTCAGAAGTTCACTGCTGACTTCCGAAACGAGCAACGGAAAAACATGCACTGCACTCACCCCATTTTAACCGTATACATTCTTCTGTCATGTTGACTTTGCCTGAGGAAAAACAAGAAAGGATTGCAACAAAATGTATAATAAATCAAAAAGCAAAAAAAAAGTAAGTGAGTGAGATGTGAGAAGGAACGTTAAAATACCTTCTGGAAAGATGTGAACCCATTCTCCTCTGTTCAGCCTTTCCACAATAAAATCCATGCCTTTCTGGTAAACACCGTCCCCTACAAAAAAAACATCATAATGCAACCATTAACCACACAGTACATACTACATTTTCATGTCCGATACCACAACTTAACAAATCTTCTACTCCCTAAAAGAAAAGGAAATCCATGGCCAACAACATGAACACATTATGTAATACTGCTGTTTTTTATTGTCCTATTAATGCTAAAAGACTCACCTCTGCAGACAGGAACACACTTTCCGCGGCTGAAGAATCTTGAGTGCAGCTCTTTAGTGAAACAGATGTCAGATGCTGCTGGAGTCCTACACAGTTACAGAGAAATAATTACACAATGTACAAAACATAAAACCAAAATGAAGAGAGAATGAGGTGTGGAAATTATAAAAACTCACCATCGCATCTTATTGAAGTCCCACAGCTGTCTGAGCTTTAGTACACCTGTCACAAACACGTGATTATTTTCCTGTTTCTGATGTTATGTGTAGAAGTGTCTGATATCACTTTGTGAATCTGTTTCTTACCCCAGAGGTGCGGGTCATCCATACAGGACTGGTGGTTGGACACAGTGATGAGGGGTGTGTCAGAGGGCCTCTGGTCCACCAGGTCCAACAAAACCTCATGGTTGTGCACCGTCAAGTAGTTCATGTACTCTGAAGATTAGGAGGGAGAAAACTTGTGTGAATATTCTTTTAATTATATAGCAGATGTGAAAGTAATATTCAGATCCTGTATTTTTGTGGAGAAACATGGTTTTCATTGGACATGAATGGAATAATTGCACCACTGGTATGTGCTGTGTATATACTCCAACTTACTGGTCCAGAAGTAGGAATAGGAGCCCACCATCCCCATAACCAGTGAGCTGGACATCCTCCATGCCAGAGGAGGGCAATGTGGAAACGGCCATCTGACCTCCAGGGGCATCACAGCGCTCCACAGACACTACATCCACTTACACATTAACCTGGATAAAACACCAACACAATGAGATTCAGCTAGAGGGAAAACTAAAGCAGGTTTAAATGGTTTTTTTTGTCTATTTTTAACATTTTGATGAAGGGATACGACTTCATTTTACATGTGATCAGCCTGAAGAAAAAGTTTGATTTTCTTTACATTTCAGGTAGGAGCTTTTTTTTTGCAAGTCATTAAGAATAACCCTGATGTTTGCATGTAGATCTAGTGATAGGACATCATAAATATATGTTAATAGAAGTGCAGTATCCAGTGTTTAGAGACCCTGACACTAACTAGGGATTAACATCAGGATATTTCAGCCATGTTGACCTTTTCTCTCTCAAGTTATTAAAATAAAATCCCTGGAACGAAAAACGTTACTGTGTTGCGTGAATACTGTCATTTTCAAGTTGTTTTATGAGTCAGCTACATTATAGCCTATTAAATTCATTCGACAGACATTTTTGTCAAAACAAACATATTTCCAATGCATACACCGACTGGGAGCAATTTATGTTTCAGTTTCTCAAGGACACTCATCTCTCGCTTTATATACTATTTTATCTCTGATTACTGATTTGCTTCCAAAAACATTTCTGTAAACATTCAGTTTATGGGCAATTTTTGATTTTAAGTTTGTACTGCAAGTTCCTTGTCTCACTTTAGCAGAACATTACCAATGGTAAATGTGGAGCTCATTTTAACTACTTTATTTACCAGGTGTTGTTTTGGTCGCCTAGCGTGTGATCCACGTTTTATCTTTAGCTGTAATAAGGTTTTAAGGATTAAATATTTCTTATTGGATGGAGTAAATACGGTATTTTCCTCTGACATGTAGTGGGGTAAACTTAATAAAAGCGTCAAAAGAAAATACTCAAGTAGAGCAAAAGTATTTTTAAGTACAGTATTTAGAGTTATTACACTTGACGGGGAGTACTGTTACCTGAAGCTAAGGTCAAACTGTACCGAGGCATTTAACCTTACATCACCCAGCTGATGTTAGCCTGCGAGCTAGCTGCTAGTTTAACCGACTCATACATCTCCGAGACACATGTTAATACATAAAATACATTAATAAACTGGTAGATCAAAGTGTCATTTGTTGTTTTAGCTTCACGAGAGCTGTACTGACAGAACCAATCAATATTTTTACAAAGATATTTGCATTTTAATTCATGACTCTGACACCATTGTGATTTAACAGCTAAAAATAACGGCACTTTACGCTTTTAAATACACATATAACGTAGCGTGACACAGTACGACCCTTTATCAAACATATTTGAATACTTGAATAACTTGGGATATAGATAAAACACCACAAGTTCAAAGATTTACCTCACCTTACTCCTGCTGACAGCAGGCTGGTGGTGAGCGACCCCGGAACTGAAAGTCACGCAATGACTTGTGGGTGTTGTAGTTTATTTTGGACAAAGCTTTTTTTACGTAATAATGTTAAAGAATTAGCGTGCCGGTTTGTTTTTGATTTGTTTTTCTCTGTAACGACTTCATATAAAATGTGTCTTCCATCATTTATATTTAATGTGGTTTACAAGCCGTTTTCCGTGTTTAGAAGGAAGAAGGTAAAGGTAAATCCCTGTTAACTGCTTGACCTGCTGTTCACTGTTTTGAGGTCTCCTTTCAATTAGGATTACTGGAATAAAGTACTACTGTGATTTTTGAATATTGTACATATTGATATGTTAATAACAATAAGGTAATAACTAGTGGTTTAAAATTAGATTTATTTTTGTTATGGTAATTATTTGTTTAAATAAATTATTGTTTTTCCACATGACGTTTGAAAGGCTTTGACTACATTTTGAATATTTATATGAGTAAGAAAAATAAATAATTTGCAGTCTGATGTGTAATCAGAATGTGGATTCAAGTATCTGCTTGGCTTTACAGTCTTTGCATAATTACTTCTCATCAAAGGTTGAGTATGTTTTGCACTCAACCTTGTGAGACCTGGCCTGCAATGCTTCTTCTCAAACAGTCCCAGAACTGAACCACTCTCCATCGCTCTCTTTCTCCATTTTGCACCATCTTTTGCCTCCTTGCCTCATGTTGTCAGTCATGTTGACTGCAGTGGCTGGGCATTGAACTGGTGCCCCTTCAAATGATGGACACCAATTAAGCCCTTCAGCCACGCCACACAGATGTATTTTGTTACAATTTGAAGGGGTGTGCTTGTTAGTTGTTACATGCAACATAGTTTAAGCGGGTTGGATTGGTCTCTTATTGTAGTATAACACATGATACATTATATGATAAACATGCCAAAAAAAACTAAATTCATGTTTAATTTTCCATTCTTACCAAAAGGCATGTGTGGATCCTTGAAGTTTGGAAAACGTGTTGAATTAAATTCCTTTCTCAGACAACAGAGATCCAACTGTAGTGATCAAATTCAACACAATACTTCCGTTCCGTCTTTAACAAAATAATAAATGTATTTGATGTGACTACACCTTTAACAAAGACGATGCTGTGGCTTAGTTGGTCAAAGCACCTGTCTTGTAAACAGGACATCCTGGGTTAAAATACCAGGATTGCCTCAGGTAGGAGAGACTAAGTGTAATACCACCATGATACATTAAAACACGTTTATCGCATGGTGTGTGTAGCTCCGATTAGTCTTCAAGGAACAAATAAAAAGTAGTGCTTTATCCCATGCAATTACAGATTGCTCTGTTTGTGAGACTTGGCGGAGAAGGTTTCATCTTATTAAATGCATATATATTACAATATATTACTAAGAAGAAGATGTGTTAGAGTTAGGGATCTATAGTTTATATTTTTAACCATTTAAAACTTTTTATCTGTTTTTCAATTTTAGCAAGTTGTGTCTTTCCTATTTTGGGTTGTATGGGTTTTCAGCAATGCGATCATTAAGTTTACTTCCATCTTTAAAGGTCCCATGTCATGCTTTTCCGGTTATTACCCGTCCCATTGTGTGTTATTAAGGTTGTTATGCATGTAAACGGTCTGCAAAGTCACAAACCCTCAAAGTACACCCTGTAGCGAGTAAAACTCTAACACAGAAAAGACCTGTCTATGCTGCCCCAGAACGCCTCGTTGGAGATTTATCTTTTTCCATTGTTTTCTTCCTGGGTACAGTGACGTGCCCATACCCAAATGGACCCATTGGTCCATGGAGTGTGTAATGTCAGCTAGCTACAGTAGCTAACATTAGCTAACACTTCACCTCATTCTGGTGTTGGTGACGTGTATTGTGCAAGACCAGAGATGTAGTTCATTGTGCGGTTTCACACACAAACAAATAAGTGACGACGCTGAAGTTGGCTTCCGATTCGGCAGTTAAGGGGAAAGTTGAGGGACATTTAATTTACAGCGCTGAGCGAACAATCCCCCGTGTTTGTACCTCTTAAATCGCTGCATAGCCGATTTATTTGGACTAGATTATCCCAGAGAGTCTAAACATTCTTTATAAACACAGTTTTAGATTTGTGAAACCTTTATTCTATTTGTGAAAATACAAAAAAGGGAGATTTCGCTGCTTTTTTCGCATTTAGACCAGGTCCTGATCTAAAACCACTATACACTCATCACATCTGGACTGGATTATCCCAAATAGTCTAACTATTCTTTATAACACAGTTTTAGATTTGTGAAACCTGTATTCTATTTGTGAAAATACAAAAAAGGGAGATTTCAGTGCTTTTTTCCTATTTAGACCACGTTAGACCAGGTCCTGATCTAAAACCACTATACTCATCAAATCTGGACTGGATTATCCCAGAGAGGCTAAGTATTTTTTAACACACAGTTTTAGATTTGTGAAACCTTTATTCTATTTATGAAAATACAAAAAAGGGAGATTTTGCGGATTTTTTTTTTTTTTTTTTTTTTCTCTCTGGCCATTGACTTCAATACATAATTTTTCCGAAATAAGGTCCCATGGAGTTCCACCGTCACTTCCGGGCAAAAATTACGGCCCCGCCCACTTTTGGGGGAAACAACAATTTGAATGGCGATCAAGCCTGAAGCCACAGAGCTCTTCTTTTACTGTCCTTTTTCGTAGAGGAAGTACAGAAAAACGTAACTCTGGATTTATTTTAATGTTTAAGGTGCAATAAACAACACAGCAGCTTGTTGGCATGATAAAACAATTATTTTCCGCCTTGCACTTGTCAGTGTAGAGTAATGCTGGTGAAATGACGGCCTCGCCTACTGATTTTAATTTAACCATATATTGAGCCCAATCGTCGATTTCAAATCATTTAATGTAATTGTTTGCCTGACTGGCCATCGTAATCGGGCTTTTTGAAGATCCAAAAATCCACGGTTTTCTTACATTTCTGATCGGATTGGCAAAAACTTCAGAATGTGTATTGACCGCCATTCAAATGACAGCGTTGTTTTCCCCAAAAAGTGGGCGGGGTCGTAATTTTCGCCTGGAAGTGACGTAGGTGTTACTCTAATCGCGCTGGGAGGTCTTTGGTTCGGATTGGTTGTAGAGACTTCCGACCCTCCCCTCTAAAGAAAAGGGGCGTGGAAATCTGCTGCATGTCTACAAACGTGAGAGCAATTTGTTTTCACATCACATGCTTGCTAGTGCCTGCTTGTATCGGTGGCGATTTTTGTGTTTACATTTTGCACAGTAGCCTAACAATGTATTTTAAGGCTGTGGGCTCAGCATTGGCTCGTACACTGTGGACAAGAGGACAAAGGACACCTCCTGCTGCAACATCCCCCAAAGTGAACAGACTTTCTACAACGTGCAGCGTGTCAAAAAGTTGCAGCTCTGACTCAGACAGACCGAGTGGCGAGGGGCCATCTCCCAGCAGCGAGCCGCCGCACAAATTCACGACTGCCGACAAGAAGCGACCCAAGGAGCCCGTTGGTGCTCCGGGTGTTAATGGTGCCAGAAGAAGGTCATGCACCTCCGCTGCTCCGGTGAGCCAGAGCACCTACCTGTGGGCCCGGTACAACGACACGAAACGGCTGGTTCACGGTAAGCAGAGGGTTCCCACAATTTGTCCCAAAGTCACCCCAAAAACACAGCGACGGTTACCCTCCACGTCCACGTCATCAAGGCTCTCTCAGCCGTTAGTGAGGACATGTTGTTGGAGTGTTTTCATCCTCTTTTATAGTAGGCACACCGGACAGATGACACAACAATGCTTACTGTTCCTCTTTGCAAAGTGCATTTCAGGATAAAAAAACTACTATTTTTGATTAAACTGACAACTTAATATGTAGTTCCACACAGTTGCAATACAACACGCCTTACGTTCGCAAACTAAACATACTAGCTAGCTTATCGGAGCGTGAGTTCACATCACATGCAGTGTTTCCCCTAGGTTTACTGCTTTGGGGGGGTGGGATGGCATTGGGATATATTTTTTTTAAATCCTCTGGAGCAGATAAACTGTGGATTATTGTTATTGATTAATGCATCAGTGTTTCTTCGGGTCAAAAACACTAAACTCACAACTTTATTTAATAAAAGAGCACATGTTCAATGTGAAAAGTGACAGTAGATATAGATTAGTTGCAATTTGGTGCTATATATGTTTTTTTTTTTAAACACCTTGAATTTCAGGGGGGGCGCGGGGCTCCGTTGGCGGGGTAGACAATGGTAGGGGAAACACATGTTTACATTGCAGTCGTCTCTTCTTTGTTTTCAGTTTGTGATTTTGTTGTTTATAAGTCAATCTGAACATTTACATTTTTTTTCTATAACTACTGAAATGGTAAATGTACTGTACTTATATAACAGAAATAAATGGTCTAAATCAGGGTTGCTAACTTTGGGTACCTGGCTGGAGTGAGATTTTGATATCATGGGTTTAATTACAAATATGCGCACTAAATGACTGCTATCGTGTTAGTAGCGGGACCTTAGCATATATATATATATATATATATATATATATGTGTATGTATGTGTATATATATATATGTGTATGTATATATGTGTATGTATGTATATATATATATGTGTATGTATGTATGTATGTATGTGTATATATATGTGTATGTATATATATGTATGTATGTATGTATGTATATATATATGTGTATGTATGTATGTATGTATGTATGTATATATATGTGTATGTATGTATATATATATATATGTATGTATATGTATGTATGTATGTATATATATATATATATATGTGTGTATGTATATATGTGTATGTATGTATGTATGTATGTATGTATGTGTGTGTGTGTGTGTGTGTATGTGTGTGTGTGTGTGTATGTGTATATATATATGTATGTATATATATGTGTATGTGTATATATGTGTATGTATATATATGTGTATGTATATATATATATATATGTGTATGTATATATATATATATATATATATACATATACATATATATACATATATATACACAATATTGGGCACAAAGTTTCATTCACTAATGAAAGTCAAACACATGTTTGTTTCGCTTCCTGTCTGATGAAAGGACCAGGAGTGGCTGGCTGGATCAAGTTAGCTACCTAGCTAGTAGCAAGCACGTTAGTTAGCATTACAGCCGGCTTAGCCTTGTCATTTTTATTAGCCTTAACATGAAGTAGCATTAAGTTAACCAAAGTGTTAAACAGTAGAGTAGTAGTCATATTTTGTGAACCCTTTGAAGAGTACTGTCACACCGGTGTGATCATTCTATAATACACCTTTAAGCCCGGATGCCCCCGAGGGAGAAATGCTAACGCTACATTAACATCGGCGATCTTTAATACTTCATGCTATCTGCACAAATGGTTAACATTGAACATTAAAAAGATCAGGCAGTTCAGGGAGAATCGAAGGAAGGCAGGCAGCTTTGCATGACATTCTTCTGGACGTGTTTCATTGTGGTGATAGTGAGGGTAGTCAATCCCTTGTTTGGCAAGACAGTAGTGACGGCCATCTTGGTGACGTGTGTTGTGGTGCGAGACCAGAGATGTAGTTCATTGAGCGGTTTCACACAAAAAAAGTCTTACTTCACAGTTTTACGGCAAAACATAAATTTTTTTACTTGCAAAATTATCTTTTAAATTGACAAACATCATATGTGTAATTCGTGGCACAATTCAAACGGGATCGAAAGATAACGTTTCTCTCGCCATTGACTTCAATACATAATTTTTCCGAAATAAGGTTCCATGGAGGTCCACCGGAAAGGGAGGGACTTCGCCTCTCTATAGTTTGGGCAGCGTGAGAGTTTGAGATTGAGATTGAGAGTGAAAGCGTGTCACACGCCAGATGCGTGAGAGTTGGCAACCCTGGTCTAAATAACAAATGATTCAGTGGTTTCAAATCTCTTAGAATACAAATGCCCCTTTCACACTAACGCTGTTCCCGTTCTAGCTCCGTGCTTGCGCTCTTCTGGTTCGGAACCGGTTTTTCTTTTCAGCGACCGTTTTGTTCACACCGCCCAGAGCCCGACACGTCACCGTTTACGTCGCTGATTTTCTCCCCAACGGTGTCGGGTCGATGATCGTGTTGATTTTAATCATACGAAGCCAGATTAAATTAAATAACTACTTCTCAACCCTTGTATTTTCTCCAGAGTGCTGTGGTTCATTGTTTATTAATGTATTTCAGCGGCATTTACCGACCGCTGCAGTACTGCCTGCTGTTTGGCATGACAACGCTGTTATGAAAGTTTCTCTGGTATAAAATGGGTGATGTTAGCATAGCAACCAAAGCTAAACTGACTATCTTGACTACTTGTTGCTATCCTATTGTGGCATAAGCCGTTTTCTACAGGCACATTTTACCGGCGTATTTTTCATTATGATTCTACTTGTGATAGTCGGACATGACAACCTGTGCAGCCCATGTATTGATTCAAGGGATGCCAGAAACTGACCATGATCAAAATCGGACAGCCCTGGCGAATATTAATCGATTATTCGCCGCCAAATTTTTAATGTGTGGTTGCGTTCTAGTCACTTTGGTCAGCGCTACTGCTTGTTACAACTTTCATTTGCCGTACTCGCCATAATAAACTGTTATTGCTCAGGTTGTGACGTATGCGGTTCTTGCTTCTAGACCGACAATTTTTTGGTGCTTGGTAAGCACCGGTGTTCGGGGCTTAGAGCCGGCTCGGCTGCGGTGTGAACAGGAAAAAACGGTGCTTATCAGGCTCTAGCTCCGAACCGGCCCTGGAACCGCGTTGGTGTCAAAGGGGCAAAAGTAAACAAGTTCAGATACATTTTGAAATAACACGGTGACTTAAATTGGGCCTCTCCTGGCACAACATTAGCCGCTAGCCAGTACTTAGTCCCCCCCGAACTCTTTAATCCCTGGAACTGTCCTAGTAGATCGCGTTCTCACCGGAATAAGTCCCTGAGGGAGGATTACGTGAATGAAGCCGCTGACGTCACTTCTTCTTCTGCTTTGGGTTTACTGACAGGCCGCAAACAACTTCACGGCATACTACCCCCCGGAGTTGGGGACTGGCTTCAGTAGAAGCTGCTGGGTCGGGTCTTCCGAGTAAATCGCCAGATGCGCCGATACCTCCTCATCACTTCACCGCTCCCATGTTTTCTTTTGTGTTGCCATAAATTAGTCTCTCTCCGTTGGTGCGCTGGGCTAATGCTAATGCGAGCAAATAAAATGGCGGCTTCACAAAACTTTTCGGAGTTTTACGGGGCGTGGTTTGTAATTCGCCCAGCCAATCAGAAATTGTTAGTGTGGCCGACGCACCCACGAACCATTTCCTCCCCAGGAAAGTACCACCTCTATAGCAGGGACTATCTGGGGGTGAAAAGGGTGGCAGTATACGCCGTGAAGTTGTTTGCGCCCTGCCAGTAAACCAACCCGAAGAAGAAGTGACGTCAGCGGATGAGTAATGGAAAGCTTGGACTGTTCAAAACAGGCTCCTGGGATAAATGTGGTCGGTCAGTTTGTATAATAAATCAAAATTGTTCATTTTATTCAAATGCATATCTCTAGTATGGTAACCCTAGAAAAACAGAACATTTTGCAGTGGTCTCTTATATTTAGCCTGAGCTCTAAATAGAGTCAATAGTCCTATCGTGTTCCCCAGGTTATAATGTCCTTAATAGTAAGATACTGCAAAACGTTTTGTGTTGCAATGCTTTTTTTTGTAAATCAAGGTCAAATGTTTCATTCATGTAGCTGATTGTCAATATTTTGAAAATCACCCATTTTTATCAGTATTTATGTATTCATTCATTTATTTATTTAACAGGGACAGTGCACATTGATCAACATTTCTGTAAATGTGCCAGTTAGCCAAGAGGCTATTTTTGGTGACATTAAAATGTCACAATAAATCACTCTATTCCCCCCAATCACGATATCTCTTATGAAAAGGCAATATTCAACTATATTTACTTTTCAGAGTTGTTGTTCTTGCCATGTGGCCCAACCCTACAATTATTCCTTAGTGCATGATCAGCTTTAATCAAACACGTTCTGTTTTTAAATGCTTGCTTTGCTTTGGCATTGAATCAGTTACTGAGAGAAAAAGGTTATATACAAATAATACAGAATAAATGTTTATACAGTACAAAACATCAACTCAGATCATTTATGCAAGCACAGACTTACATCAAAAATATTATGTTCTTTTACTTTATTGCAAAGCTATTGATGTTAAGCTCAACTGAATTCAATTCAAGGCTTTATTGTCATATGCACATTAGCTACAGTGTAGATATATGGCAATGAAAAACTTAGGTCACAGGCTCCTCCAACAGTGCAACATATATATGGATATAAATAAAATGGATAAAATAGTGCAAGAGAAGTAAATACCTAAGAGTTTGGACCGACATAAGAAACTTGGATCTACATTTTCTAGATCTGATCTTTTGAAATATGTAACAGAAACAGAAATATTTGTATAGATTGATTAGAGAGAAACTAGCCTCAGGAATGACACATGCATATCTGCTGCCCAGCTGCAGCCCTTATTGAACTGTCCCATAGCAGAATGACCCACTTTATCCCTTAGACCCTCTGTGGCACTCATTTTCCAGCCAGGGTATTAAAGGCTGTCAGAGGAATAGATCAAAAACTGTTTGTTTAATCTGGGAACATGCATATGCCGCATAGCTGTTATCAAAGTGTGCAACAGTGGAAGGCAAATTCATGAAAAACGATAATGAAAATAACTTTTAAGAAAAGTAGCCTAATGAATTCTAAACGCAAAAGAAAATAATAATATGCTCTTTGTTTTGCAAGGGCTGTAAAAAACTGTTTGGATCGACATACTGTACTTCTGTGAAGAGTTGAAATCTTAGAAGCACGTATTGCACAACCGCACTGAGCCTGCCAACCACACTCGATTGAAAACAGCAGTGGAACAACTGCTTTAGACTCTGCAGAAGTGCATCATCAGCAGGTTTCATTGCACTAGGGAATATTTATATATTTTTTTGTACAGCTTGAATGACCTTATCCTACCTTTCATAAAATACAAATATTGACTAGTGTTTGGTTTCCTTTTCGTTGTTGTAGTTTTCTGTCTAATTTGAATGATGTTTTCCCCTCTGCTCTCAGACATCATCCCACCGGGTGCGTGTAACCTCCTCAACTCCTCCACCATCTATGCCAACAACGAGGTGGACCTGGCTGAAGTGGACATCTACGGCTTTGACTATGACTACACACTGGCTCTGTACTCAAATGCACTCGAAAAAATGATCTACAATACAGCAAGAAACTTCCTAATCAAACACTTTAAGGTGTGTTTTACAGTAGTTGCATCGGATATATTGGCATACAACTGCTTTTAGATTTACGATTAATTCATCCGTTTTGTCCTCCTGCTTGACAGTACCCTGAAGGCATCCAAAGATATGATTACATTCCCAACTTTGCTGTCCGAGGTCTGCACTATGACATCCAAAAGGTAAATAATTTAGCAGGAGAAATGTTTACACTTCTCTGTACAGATAATAACAAGTGGAACTCTTTTTTTGTTCTTCTTTCCTCCTCTTAAGGGTCTTCTGATGAAGATAGATGCCTTTCATTACATTCAGGCAGGAACAGTGTATCGGTAAGAAATTGATATTCTGTTGAGTACCGTTAAATGCGGTTTATGCATGATTCGCTGGCTGCTGTTTGTAAACACAGTTTTCCTTCAAAAGAAGAGAGGGAGAGCATTGGTGGTTTAGCTAGCTGGAAAGTGACTTAAGAGGGAGTGGCGTGAACGAGAACAAAACAGTGATTCAGAGAAATAAAACGTGGTGTTCTGATGGTTGCATTTACATTCTAAAGCCAAAACCTCCTCACACACCCTGCGAAAAGATGTTGCATTGCCTGATTTTGTGTGATTGCAGTTTTATCTCAAGCTTAATATTTTCTGCTGTTAGTGTTAGTGCACTGCAAGTATGTAGTTCACCCCCCCCCCCCCCCCCCCCCCCCCCCTTTGGGTGAACAGACACACAGATCTGCATATCTTCACATCCATGACGCAGACAGAGCCAAAGAGAGAGACAGATAAGAATGTAACTTGGTCACCAAGTCCCGACCAAATCTGCACTCTGTTATTGGCACAGGAAGAGGAAATCACCGGCAGAGGGCAGCGTCATAAGTGATGATAGAGAGGGATTACTTTTGTATGAGAATAATAGTTTGGTCGACTGATGTTTTGTTTAATGTTGAGCTCAAGTGAATTCATTTATTTTCGATGTCTCCAGGGGACTGAGCCCAGTGCCAGATGACGAGGTCCGTCAGCTCTATGGGGGGACTTTCCATGTCCCACTGCAGCAGGACAGTGGCTTCTATGGAAAAGTGAGGAGGATTTGTTTCTTTTTTTTTTACAATTACAGAGTGCACAGTAACATTAATACCATCAGATAATCTAATGTATATCAGGTTGGTTTTAAATGTTTGCAATCATTTAAAATAGTTTGTTTGTGGAACTGCCTGACGCGGTTTATCTTTATTTAGTTATTTTTCTTGTATTGAGACATGTTCAGAAGGTCTCTTCTCTGTAAAACATGTTTGTTTTGGCACAGATGAGAAAGCTCCTCTTAACTTGTCGGCCCAACAGATCTGATTATAATCTCATCCGGTCACTCCCAAATGAATCGGGATTAAATCTGTAACTGTCCACAGATATTTTTGATGTCTGGCTTTGTTGTGACATAAGCGCAACATCTCATTTGTACCATTGTCGTCACGCAAGCAGGAAGACTGAGTTCCAGTCCCTAAAAGCTGACTGCAGTAACTCTGTGTCTTAAATAATTTGTGTTCCGTTATGACTTTTTAGATCTGCACTCAGTCAGTCATGAAATGTCCTAAGGTTTACCATACTTATTTTCTAATTAGAAGCGATTTGGTCTTGAGTTTCAAAAAGTGCTCTCCTTCACCAGGAAGTATGCCCTCCCCCATTCTCGAATACTCCTCGAAACATTCCTATCCAAAATAGTTCTGGTTCAACTCTTATTTCATTTTGGGTCTCTGTTTTCTGGGTAGCCTTTTAATGGGCACTGATTGTAATACAAATGGTTCATTTTGTGATTAGAAGTCACATTTTACATGCTCACACACATTAAATTACATTACATTGCATTTAGCTGACGCTTTTATCCAAAGCGACTTACAATAAGTGCATTCGACCAAGAAGATACAAACTTGAAGAAAACAGAATCATATAAGTACATCAGGTTTCATAGAGCCAAAACATTTCAAGTGCTACTCAACTAGCTTTAGATAAGCCAGTCCTTTATTAGTATATAAGTGCTTTGTTAGTAATTTTATTGCTCGAAGTGGAGTCGAAAGAGATGAGTTTTTAGTAAGCGCCGGAAGATGTGTAAGCTTTCTGCTGTCCTGATGTCAATGGGGAGCTCATTCCACCATTTCAATTAATAACCCCACATTTAAATCTATTTTCTATCCCAGGGACCAAAGATTAAGCAGTTCATGGATATTTTCTCCATTCCTGAGATGAATCTCTTGGCTTCAGCAAATGATTTTTTCATCTGCAACGACATCGACTACGATCCAGTTCACCTCTTTAAGGACGTCTCGGTGAGAATGCCCTCCAACGGTTGTTTATTCATTTCTGCACCCGAGGTTTTAGTGTGTTGCCTCTACCTGTGGCTCATACTGAGAAGCATACTGACCCAGTGGGTTTGACTGTTTTCTTTGGATGGAGGCTCAGGAATCTGCTGAGCTCAGTAAAACCTTCCAATTGACTCATGTATAGAACAAAAAACAATAAGTTATTTTCCTCTTGGTCCTGAGATGCCAGGATCTCTAGTTACTGGGCACTAGAGCTCACATTTTTTAAAATTAAAACATCAGGTTTTCATATAACGGTGCGTCTACACAGCAGCGTTAAAAAAATCTTGAAACGCTTCTGCCCATTCACTTTGAATGGGGTGACGTCACTTTCCCTCACTTTTTGCCGAAATGCATTGTGGGCAGGCGAGCGGAGATTTTCAGGATTTTGAGGATTCAAAGTTGAACAATGTTCAACTTTTGAGGCTGAGGTGGAAGCGTCAGCCAATCAAATCCCGTGTACGCAAATCTGACAGTTCAAGCTCTAGCCAATCAAACGGCGTGTATGCTGGGAGAGACATACCGCAGGTCATTTCCTCATATTCCAAAAAATGGAGGAGAAATTAGCGGTAGGGAATCACCCGGTGCTTTATGACCAGACCTACCGGGATATAAACCGGAGGAGCCAGGCATGGAGGGAGGTGGCAGAGACAGTGGTAGGTTTTCGCCTGTTTTGGGGAGTTTATATCCAGTTTACTTCGGGCTTTTTTGCTTCGTATGTCGCGGGCGGGAGATTCATGTGATTGGTTGCTCGCAAAAAATCCTCAAGCTTCAGATACGCCCACCTCCAAGATTTTTTTTAACGCTGCTGTGTAGACGTACCGTAATGGTTAATTTCTGTAGTTTAGACCCATCTCTCAGCAGAATATACTCATGCTAGATCAGGAACGTATCATGAAATGTTAAGATCTCATGTGAAGCCTCTATGTAACACTTTTTAATCTTCAGGAAGCGATTGGCATGGTTCACCTGCAAGGCTACATGTACAAATGGGTCATGGAAGATCTTGGTAAGACTTTTTTTCCTTAATTTGAATCACTCTAGGGCCACAATCTTGTATTATGATGGTCATTTGAAGATATAGTAACTTTTTCTGGCAATTCAATAAATAGTCTACTGTATATAATATAAGTACATGGTAATTTTCAGCTACATGTTTATCTGATGTTATGTTACATTCCTGCACACAAATACAGTGTGATAAAGTTAAGATTATAATCTGATTTAATGGCAGTCCAGTTTGTTAATTGACCTAATGTCAACTGTGATACGATTTTAATAATGATATTGAATCATCAAGCCATTACTGAACATAAAATACCATTACAACATCATCTTATGCTTCTGAGCTCTCTTTATCTTTCCTTATAGATAAGTATATTCTGAGAGGAGAGGAGACAGACGCTGTTTTGCACCGATTGGTCAGTAAAGGAAAGAAACTGTTCCTCATCACCAACAGTCCCTTCAGCTTTGTGTAAGTGTTGGTTGTCTGTCAGCTGTGAGTCCACTCTGACATAAAAAGGGGGTGTTTCAATCTGTCATTCTTATATTGTTTGTTTTCCTGTGTGCAGGAATAAAGGAATGACACACATGGTGGGAAAAAACTGGAGAGACTTCTTTGATGTTGTCATTGTCCAGGCAGAAAAACCTCACTTCTTCACTGATTGTATCAAGTGAGTAAATATTTTGGAAAAAGTGGTGAACAGACTGTGATCATCAGGTTCTGACATGTCCTTAAAAATGATTTCTCCTAAAGACCCTTCAGGCGCTTGGATAGTAATGGAAACCTTCAGTGGGAAAAGATAAACAGTCTGGACAAAGGAGAGATCTACAAACAGGTCTGTATTTCTATTATTGTTATCCTACAGTATCCTTTCCCTCAATCAAAATGATTCCTTATGTTTGAGTTGTCCCTGATCCTCTAATAATAAGACTACTTTTTCTCTATTTTGTATCTGTTTTGACATGTTTTAAATGTTACAGGTTTTGACTTGGTTGTATAATATTTTAATACTGAACTTCTTTTGTGTTTTAGGGAAACCTGTTTGACTTTCTCAGACTGACAGGGTGGACAGGATCAAAGGTCCTTTACTTTGGAGACCACCTCTACAGTGACTTGGCTGTAAGTGTAAAAGAAAGGCAAGACCATCACTAATGGTTCACTGCAATAATGATCCATAGTGTGACTAACTGTTTTTGTGAATATTAGGATTTTTTAATGTATTTAAGGCACATTCCACAAATCTATTTAGCAGTGGGAATCATACTTTTTAAAATTGCATTAATATATTATTTATAGTTCAAGCCCTGTCAAACGCATGCAGACAAAGACATACAGACACACACTCACAGAAGCCCATTATCTCCACCTATCAAAGTCAAAGTCGGCTTTATTGTCAAAAATTCTACATGTGTTATACATCCAGAAATCTCGAAATATCGTTTCCCGCAGTCCTACAGTGTGACATGTATACACAAAACAAAAAGGGCCTAGATAAACGGGGTATACATTTATACAAAACAAAGAGCCTAGATAACCGGGGTATACAGTTTAAAATGCCAATAATATATTTATTAGTGTTCAAAGTACAGTTTCAGTGCAGTAGTAGCGGAGATGGGCAGAAAAGTGACTGGTGCTGGATGAGGGAAGGTTGTGTGTGTGGGGGGGAGGGTTAAAGTCCAGGACCATTTGGGGCAGGGGAGAAGGGTGGGAGGCAGGGTGGAGAGTTCAGGCGAGAGATGTCAGAGGGAGGGAGGGAGGGAGGGGAGAGAGTTCAGCATCCTGACCGCCTGGTGGAGGAAGCTGTTGCCCAGCCTCGAGGTGCGCGAGCTGAGGCTGAGGAACCTTCTTCTTGAAGGCAGGAGGCTGAAGAGGCTGTTGGAGGGGTGGGTGGAGTCACCCGCAATGCTGAGTGCTTTGCGGGTGAGGCGGGTGTTATATATGTCCTGTAGTGATGGGAGTGAGGGACCGATGATCCTCTGGGCAGAGTTCACAATGCGCTGCAGGCTCTTGCGGTTGGAGGCGGTGCAGCTTCCAAACCACAGCGTGATACAGCTGCTGAGGATGCTCTCGGTGGCGCCTCGGTAAAAAGACAGCATGATGGAGGGTGATGCTCCGGCTTGCTTGAGCTTCCGGATGAAGTACAGGCGCTGCTGGGCTTTCTTCGCTAGTGCGGTGGTGTTGTTTTCCCAGGTGAGGTCATCAGTGATGGTCACACCAAGGAATTTGGTGCTGGTCACCTGCTTCACAGCAGCGCCGTTGATGGTCAGGGGGAGAGGGGGTCGGCGGTGGGTTCTCCTGAAGTCAACAACTATCTCCTTTGTTTTCTCCAGGTTGAGGAAGAGGTTGTTATTTTGGCACCACAGGGCCAGCTGGTTCACTTCCTTCCTGTAGTTAGTCTCATCGTTGTTGCTGATGAGACCCACCACAGTAGTGTCGTCTGCAAACTTCACGATGTGGTTGGAGCTGAAGTTGGGTTTGCAGTCGTGGGTCAGCAGAGTGAAGAGAAGGGGGCTGAGCACACATCCTTGGGGGGCCCCGGTACTCAGTATAAGGGTGTTTGAGGTGTTGTTGTTGACCCGTACAGCTTGTGGTCTCTGTGAGGAAGTCCAGCAACCTGTTGCAGAGAGAGGGGCTGAGGCCCAGGTCTGTACGTTTTTGTACAAGCTGCTGGGGGATGATAGTGTTGAATGCTGAGCTGAAGTCTATGAATAGCATTCTGACATATGGGTCCTTAGTCTTAGTCTTAGCCTTAGTGTTAGTGTCCAGGTGTGTGAGGGCTGGGTGGAGAGCGGAGGAGATTGCATCCTCTGTGGACCGTTTAGCTCGGTAGGCAAACTGAGATGGGTCCAGCGATGGGGGGAGGGTGGATTTGATCTGCTTCATGACCAGCCTTTCGAAGCACTTCATGATGGTGGAAGTTAGTGCAACGGGGCGGTAGTCGTTGAAGCCGGATGGAGATTACTTCTTTGGCACTGGAATGATGGTGGTTTCCTTGAAGCACGAGGGAACAACAGCCTGGCTCAGGGAGATGTTAAAAATGTCTGAGTTCTTCTGCGCAGTCCCTCAGCACACGACCAGGAATGTTGTCAGGTCTTGCAGCCTTGCGGGGGTTAATCCTCAGCAGTGTGCTCCTCACACTGGCTGGTGAAAGACGCAAAGCCTGGTCGTCGGGGGGGGGGGGGGGGGGGGGGGGGTTTCTGCGCAGGTGTGTTGTTCTGTGCTTCAAAGCGTGCATAGAAGCTGTTGAGGTTGTTGAGCAGGGAGGTATTACTGTCACAGGTCTGTGGCGGTAGTTTGTAGTCTGTTAGGGACCTTATGCCCTGCCACAGGCTCCGTGAGTCCCTGCTATCCTTGAAATGTCCAGTAATTTCTCGGGTGTATTCTTGTTTTGCTTCCTGATGCCACGGCCTGGCTGCTTTCAGCCCAGCTGGATCTCCAGCTCTGAAGGCGATGTTGCAGGCCTTCAGCAGCGTGTGGACCTCCCCTGTCAGCCATGGCTTCTGGTTAGCCCGGATGGTGATGGCTCTGTTTTGTGTCACGTCGTCAATGCATTTGGTGATGTAGCCGGTGACTGTCTCTGTGTATTCTTGTATGTTGGTGTGATGGTTGTATGTGGCTGCCTGCTTGAACATGTCTGACTGGGTCTGTAGTGTCAAAGCAGTCTGAGTGCAGCTGTGCTGTCCTCTGACCACACCCGAACCTGTTTTGAAACCGGTTTGGTGGCTTTTACCCTGGGTCTGTAGGCCGGTTCCAGCAGAACAGTGAGGTGGTCAGAGAGGCCGATGCCTTGTATGCTCCCTTGATGTTGGTATAGCGCAATTCTGAAAAATCCCAAACATTTGGGTGGGGCCTGAGAGGCTGTTAAAGTTAACAGTTAAGTTAAATATGTAAACACCAGATGGCAGTAAAGACTCCCTGATATTTAAAGTAAATAAATAATGTCATGTGTGTAGAAGGTATACCAACGCAGTAACAGATAAAAACATGTATACATTTTTTATCAGCCCAGTTTTTGGAACGAGATTCTTAAATGTCTAAAGTTCAGGCTATTTTGTTATCTCTGTTTGCACAGATAGAGGTTGTTAAATGAATAATAAACAAGCAACAACATGCTGTTATTGATTCACTCATTACATTGATTACATGTCATTTGTTAGACGCTTTTATCCAAAGCGACTTGCATACATTCAGTACTGTGGACAATCCCCACAGGAGCAATTTGGGGTGAAGTGTCTTGCCCAGGGACACAACGACATGCTGACTGCAGTGGGACTCAAACTTGCTACCCCCTGATTCGAAGTCCAGCACACATAAAACAAATATATCCACAATGGGTGAAACTAAATATTCCCCCTTAATATTATACTGCTTGTCTGCTAGATAAAGACTTCTTAATTTCTGAATGCATTCTTCTAACTGCATATAAAAAGATGTTAAAGCTACTTGTAAATGCCTTCTCTCAGAATACTACCATCAGTTGCTGTACATGTCAGAGTTTGACCAAAGCATTGTCCCGTGTTGTGGTAGGACCTGATGTTGCGTCATGGCTGGCGTACAGCAGCCATAGTGCCTGAGCTGGAGAAGGAGACCAAAGTGGTGAGCACAGACCGCTACGCTGTGAGCCTCACCTGGCTCCAGGCTTTAACCGGACTGATGGAACGTCTGCAGGTGAGAAGTGAAACCTTGGATTGTATGGGGCTCTTTATCAGCAAATAAGCATTGATACATGCAAGTCTTAGTCCTAATCAACCCCATCCAATGTGTTTAGAGTTAAAAGAGACAGACGTTGGCATACAGTAGCTGGCAGTTTTGATCAGACTGTGATTTTTGCTGTTCTTTATTATTTCAGATACACAGGGACTCAGAGTCCCAAAAGATTTTCGAGGAATGGCAACAAGAAAGAGAAGAACTCAGGTGAGTGCTGTCACCTTAATCCATCATCAAAGCTCCCAGTCTTCCCATTGACCCTGCTTTCATCACATATGTGACCTGCTCTATCGAAATCAGTCGGGAGTCACAACGGCTCATTTCAAAATAAATGTGGATTTGCGTAAAAAAATATATTTTTTCGGGGTTCAGGTTTGATTTTAAATAAACAAAGTCTTGGCTTTTATTTCCAAAATCACACGATAAATACATTTTTGAAGCTTGTAAATGGAAGATGACAGCTCTCACTCGCCACTCTGCTGTTCCACAGCGCTGCTTCCCCTCCCTCCGGCTGAAGTTATGAATGTAAGGCGTATAGTAATCATAGATAACACGGCAGGGTCCGTTACAGTTTGTTTTCATCTGATTTCAAATAAACAAAGTATTGGCTTTCAGAATATTAATTATTGAGAGTTTGCTTGTTCTTAGCCTGATTATTGCTATTTTATGGTACTTTATAGTTCTATTCCTCTACATTTACTTGACAGCTTGTCACTACTTACTTTGAAAGTTAAGATTTTAAGAACCTATAATGATCATTCAAACCATGATGCATGCGTGTACTATTTCCTATGATAAAACTGTACATAAAGTAGGTATAATTAGCTCCACCTCAAGCAGCTACATACTTAATATCCTATTTACATGTTTATGCATCAAAAATCTATTCACACTTTTGGGGACTATTAATTGACTTGTTATTGAGTTCAAATACATTTTTGTGTTACTTTAACACTTTACTTTTGAGTAAAAGTAGTATCTCAATACTCCACCAGATATTTTAATTCATACATGCTTCAAATCATATCAAATGATACCATAATCTTTATGTTGCAGGGTGATGACAAAGAACTTGTTCAACCCTCAGTTCGGCAGCATCTTCCGAACGTGTCACAACCCCACCTACTTCTCCAGACATCTGTCTCGTTTCTCAGACATCTACATGGCCTCCCTCAGCTGTCTCTTAAATTATGACGAGTCGTACACGTTCTACCCCCGCCGCACCCCCCTGCAGCACGAGGCCCCGCTGTGGATGGACCAGCTGTGCACAGGATGCATGAAGATGCCTTTCCTGGAGGAGATGTCTCAGATTCGATGAGACCAGTGCTCCCGTCAGAGTCTGATTTATTTTGTATTTACAGTTTATTTGATGGCTGGTGGATTCCTTTTCTTCTTTTGTTTGCGTTTATATAGTAAGGTTTCTTTTAGGTCAAGAAGGTCAAGAAGGTCCCGCACAACTCCTTGTTCTAAACAGTGACCCACTTCCCCAATGAACCCACTAAAGGCTGCTGTAGATTTAGCTTTGTCCAGAGAGCATGCATTTTCAATGTAGAAAAGTACTGTAGAGCTATTGTCGCACAAAACAACTAATAAATAAATAAATACATATCTGACATGTGTCGATTTCTTATTAACACATCACATTTTTTACAAAACAATAACACATTTTGAAATACCAAGTATACCGTTTTGTCAAGATGTACATATCTCCAATGTACTCGACGACAACATTTTGTCTGTATAAAAAGAAAAATATTACTCTTAATTGTATTTTGTGTGAATATTTAAAATATAGAAACACACAAATCATTCTGAAAAAAAGATACATAAAAAAGTTAATATAATACATATTTTTAAACAGGAAGGGGATATTTCTCCGGTGGCGAAGTTTGTAAGGAGGATACCAAACCAAATCAATAATCACTTGAATCTGACAATCTTTTTTAAAACCCTTATCATCTTTAAGTACAGGGAAATACATGGAGCTTGACAGATTTCAGTAGTCCAAAAATCACTGTTTTGAAGGCTAACATGTTCGAGTGTGATGAATATAATTGGGAGGAATCAACAGAGATACACACAGACATTATCATATAATATAGGCAAGTTGAAATGAAGCATGTTACTTTTAATATTATTATGATCAGAATGAGTACAGCCCAACATTGAAAATAGCATTAATTAAATACATGTGTTGTGCGTCACGTGTTGTCAAATCCCAACGTGATTGGTCGTCGGTTGCTAAGCAGCGCAGCCTCCATTCATGCCTGCTGTACTCGGCATCAGCAACTCATTCACTTCCAGCCGCCTGCTGAAGACAGGAGCTAAGGTACTGTACTCTGCATGCTAAATAACACGAGGTGTGGACCACATATTCATATGGGGGCGTTGTTATTAAATGGCGTCGTGTGTGTAAATAATTGTAGCTGAATATACATTTAAGGAGAAAAAGGTAGCGCTTTTGGCTAAGTTTTGTAGCTGTCCCATGCAGGAATTGGTGTGGCTGCTGCTCATGTTATTCGGGCAGAATTGCTACACGCACGTCTGTTTTGATGTTACGAGGCATACATATGTGTTGCATCTTCTTTTTATGCTTTTATGAGTTTGGTTTTAAGAAGGCCTTTTAGTTTCTTCGCTGGAGTTTTTGATGCGAGTCCGTTGTGAAGTTGGGTTTGTCTTCAGAAATGTAGCCTTGTACTATAGTGATTTTTTGCAGGTCTTTCCACAGGAGTGTTTGGTAGAGAAAACCTTTCTTTTGACTAGCGTTTTGCAATAACGGTGTTTTCCCTCCACTTCGTCAATCCAAAAAAATATCAAAATGCATCTTTATACTATTAATATCTTGACACATTTTCATGAACTGAAAGGTCTTAAAAACTGAAATTCTTCCATATTTTGTGAAAATGTGTTAGTTGATTTCAATCCCTTATATAAATTGTATATAAGTGGTCTCTTTGAATTGCACAGTGGCCTTTTCTCCATTTATGTTGTTTCCTAATGTCACGTTTGATAGCATTTCCTTCCGCTATGCTTTCTACGTAGGAAGACGCCATTAAATGTCATTTCAGTGATAAATTGCACCTTGACATTTAGTTTTCAAGGTTTATAGATTTGTGTTACATTTGACATAATGACATTTTCTCAACATCGCTATCTCTGAGTTTCAGGAATTCCTGTTTACTGTATCTTTTCTCACATCAGAACCCCTTTCGGGCACAATGCTTGTTGGCTGCTCCCAGTGTTGAATTATTTCCAGTTATGTTTTTTTTTTAGAATGAAGCACATTCCTTACTTTAATATATCAAGAACTAGATTCCAATGTTTGTTGATATGTCTTAATTGGTAAATGTATATATTTGCAATGCTGCCTGGTGTTTCTGAAGCTGCCAAGATGATCTTTTGCTGACCTCTTTAAATGTGTTCATGTATTTAAGTAAACCTTAAGCCTTGAATTTCGACTTGTTGATTGATAGAGAAACATTTAGGACAGTCTCTGGCTCCATCCTGGATTCTCTAGCTGTAGCCAACCTGTTCACTGCTTCTCCATCATTTCATTTTTATCTTTCCAATTCTCCCATTTCCATCCTCACTCCTTCATTTCCTCACCTTTTAAATCTCCCAACCCATTTCCATATTGAACCCTCCCTCCCAGGCTTGATATCTTTATGCTTCCAGATGAGTGCCTCCGTGTGTCACTGTGTTGGCAGAGGAGGCAGTGCTCTCAGAGGTTTGTGTGTTCTGGCAGCCATTCCCTCCACACAGCAGCCTTTTCTATTATTAAATGTACCAGGACTTGTCTTTTTGCAGCTGAGCACGATCTCTGCTCAGTGTAGGAAGATTTCCCTCATGCAGATCATGTTCCCGTATCCCTCTTGAAACTAAAAACAACAGAAGCCCTACAGAAAACACTGATTTATTTAATTTTTCTATAATTATTCTGCAAAATCCTTATAAAACAATAACATATTTGTGAATTCATGAGGTTCTGGGAGGATGAGCAGTGTAGAGAGACCTGAAGGCACACTCTAATTGTCGCCTGTGAATGTGCTGTAGTGGGGCAGCCCCAAGCCTGCAGTTGTGTAATCAGATCTCATGATAAACAATTAGTCTGTAATGAATGAGGTTAAATACCCATTAGCCCACATATTTCTGTAGCTGTGTGTCATCAGGGTGATACAAGATTAATAACATGTCAGAAGTAACATGCAACATGTAAAGATGACTAATCGGCACGAATGGTGATCATGCAGTGCTCACAACTGGGTGTACAGTTATAGTACAGACAGATGTATCCATTTTTAATTAGGATGTTAAACATTTAGCAAAATTACATTAACTACTGCAAGTAAATGTAGTCCGTTCATTTTCTAATATATATGCACTAACTCCCAGACTTTGCATCAGTACATGCAAGAAGTTAAAGCACACGAATGGTTATGGTGTAAATGCTAAAACAAAAATAGATGAATACCGCTATGATGGTAAGAATTGGTAATGGGAAAAACTAAACAACCTTATTGGTTGCGTGTTAAACAAATAGCTTTCAAAATAATAATTTGGGACATTTTCATGTAAATCTACATGTCAATGAATGGCAAGAAATACTTCATAGTCATATCATGTCTTTGGTAGATATTTAACCAAACAACAGATTTAGCACTGCACTCCTTCAACATTGTCATACTCACAATGGACATTTATAAAAAAAGATCAAATTCATGCAGCAGAACCAGAAATGTCATCTTATTACATGCATTCTTCTTTCGTGAGCGCTGGCAGTTCAGTCAGAGATGCAGATGTGTTATAGCTATAGCAGCCGGGGGGTGGGCATATGCCTCAAGCAGAGATGAGAATAGGCTGCAGAGGGCTGGTTAACTCGCTCCTTTCTCACTCTGTCACCTCCAGGTTCTTTTTGCATTCAGCCCGAAACACTAACTCAATTTGCACCACTTGAGGAAAGACTCTGCACAGCTAACAACCTTTTTCACATAGTACTCCCAAGACTTGTAAACAGAGATGAATGAGCCTCAGTTCTTCTACACTATATTTAGTTTTTGGTACAATCGTTACTATCTCACTACAGCTGTTATCCCGCTTTGATTACGAATTCAAGATTATAAATTATAAGTGTGCAGAGATGCTGCAACAAGGCGGGTTAACAACAATAACAGACAATACTATCTATTTTTAATGTCACTTCACTAGAAGTAGTTCAATTAATTATTTTCAATTTTTTTTACGGGCATATCTTTCTGAACTTTTGAGCCTGCATTGTATGAACAGGGTTCTTTTGACTGTCCATATATACAGTTTAATTGCATGCTTGATAGTCCTATTGCCCTCTATGTTTCATCCAGTTGTTTTATTCCTATGACTTGGACCTACAGCTGATGAATGACCTCAGTAGCCCATTAAAGGGTTCGAGCATCGTGCAGTTTCTCCTCTCATGACTGTCTAAAAGGAATCAGTGAAAGCCTCTGAGCTTCACCCAGTTTCCACATTTTATATGGATTATTTATATGCAGGTTTATGCGAGGCCATCGGCTGCTCCTGAGACTCTCAGCCACTCTTTCATCATCATACATGTGGGTGCCCCCCCCCGGCACTGTAAGTATCCTCTCCTACAGTGCTCTTGCCCTCTCATGTTATAGTTTGATGTCTAATATAATGAACCCTTTTGTAAATGACAGCCCTGTCTGTGGGGTCTGAAACACAAGCATGTGCTGTGATTAACAGTCAGTGGGTCACAGAAGGGCAGTACATGAAGACGTGTGTAGTGTGAACGTGAAGAAAGGAGAGAGAAAGAGTAGACAGCAGGGATATTTATAATCAACCAGATTGTACTTATTATTTTGTTTTAGTCGTGCATGTTCCCCTCCTTCGCCCCTATATCGAATGTCATTCTGTTTCCTTTCATAAGGTGGCATCTTGATTATAGAGTTGTCGGCGTCACAAGCAAGCAAACAATATTTAAAACCATATGTTCATACTTGAATGTTTTTTTTTTAGAGATAGGAGGCATCATTTCCCTCCCTGATTAATTATTCATCCGCAGTCTGCATTTGTGCATTCTCTGCTCAGAGGAGGATGTCAGCTCGACGCCCGCAAACAGCTTATTAGAGCGAAAGTGTGCCGTCTCTTTGATGGGCTTTGAATGCGTCACGCACTATCTGCCTCTGTGAAGAATCTATATTTGTTCTTGATTGAAGTTGCCTTTGTACTGTTGCCCATTCAGTAGTTTCAATACCTATCCGATAGTGTACAGGCATAATCAGCGAGTTATATTTGAATTGGTTTACTCATTGCTACCTCACATCCACACGCTTTGATGTCAGCCTTATTAACATTTAGAAAAGTGTCTCATCATAGCTGGAGCATCTTGAGTCTGTTCTTTTTACTTTCACTTTAATGTCTACCCTCATCACCTTCATCTTGCTTGGTGACCGAAGAACCACCGAATCTTGCAAAAAGAAACATTACTTAAAAAGTATGTGGGATGGTTTATCTCTGCGCTAGATCCAATCACACATGGCAAGGTTTTAATAAGATGCATAATAACATGATTGTGACTATATTGTTCAGTGTGTAAGTTGGAAGCCTTTAGATCAGACTA